TATATATATATATGCACTTAGTACGTGTGTGCATATCTATACATGGGACTGTAGATCTATGCGTGCGTATGATCTACACTAAATAAGACTATAAACCCCAGGCCCCAAGGGTATATTAAACCACTCAATGAAACCCTGCAGGATTAATAATATTCATGCAGAGTATATATTAGATTAATATTATAGTACGTATATTCATCTGTATATATATATATATATGTTAACTTATATGGTTTTTGTACATGTGTATATATATAGTACGTTTATCTCAGACATATATATATATATATATCTACGTACTCCCGCGACAGGGGTTGAATTGCTGGCCCTCGTGCTGCGTAGAATCCACGGATGCCTAGGTCTCAGTGCATCTTGAAGCTCGCCTCTGAAAATGGTCGGTCTGTGTATGTGTGTGTTTGTCTGCTGGATTGCTGATCTATATGTCATGCAAACACTTCATGTCCTGTGCCTGCAGGATGAACAGATACTTCAAGTGGAAGAAGCGCGGGCCCAATGCCTCGGAGGCACTCCAGAAGATCTGGGACGGTGGAAATGGCCGACCCTTGACAGCTGCATGTTATGTTGTGAGTCTCACACATGCACGAATTCACGTGTAACATGCCAACCAACTCCATATGCATGCTCAGGGAAGGAGGTGCACGAGATGCTGAAAAACACCATGGGGACTTTGCCAAGATAGAGCTGCATCTGAAGAGAACCAGTGAGAAGGAGAAGACCGCTGCCCTGGGCGGAGGCTACGTGAACGAGTCCATTCTGAAAAGCATTCACGGCTGGGACGAGTCCGCACGGCTAATTACATGTATCAAGTGCTTAGCATGCCTCATGCCTCGGACTAGGGTCAAATTTATGCGCTGAGGCAGATGATCAGTTTTTCGAAGGCTCGGGCTGAAGCCCGAGGACTTCTTCGCAAGTCCGCCGAGCATGGTGCGGACGAGTGGAAGGCCGTGCTGGAGGAGAAGTTTGAGATGAAGAAGACGGACAGGACCACGACCGAGGCTACCTACGATGCGGATCTGAAGGCGCGAGCTGGTCGATATATATATATATATCTCTCTCTCTCTCTCTCTCTATATATATATATATATAGATCTACATCGAGCATCCAATAATCAGAGCCATGGAAGTATTTTATGTTTATATATATATATATACATGTATACTTAATATATATATATATATATATATTATCTTAACCCCCTAAACCCTGAACCAGAGAACCTAACCCCGATAGACATATATATATATATATGGTAGATGATATATATATATATATACATATGTGATATATATATATATACATACATATATGATATGTATATATATATATATGGTAGATGATATATATATATATATATATATCGGTATATATATATATAAGGTATATATATATATATAAGATATATATATATATAAGATATATATATATATATATATATCATGTGCGTATATGCATGTGTGTGTTAATCATATATTCAATCATATTCACATTCGACATATATTATATATCCAGTTAAGGCTGTGGTGTATATATATATATATATGTAGTATCCATAGATTTCGACCATAAACGGCACGGGATTTTCTGACGCTCCCCTTATCCTTGTGAGTGTCGATATATTATATATACCAGCACGCATGTGCTCTATTATATATCGATCACTTATACACCGGCAGGTGCATACTTACATTCCAACACATGCATGTTCAGTCCTGCTGTACGTGCACACAGCTATATATATATATATATATTATTCAATGCAAACCTACAGGACCCAGATGGAAGTGCTGCTGGGATGCTCTTGGAGGAGATGGACCTGGATGTGGAGCAGGAGCTCCAGAACCTTGGCCGATATACGTCTAGTACAAGACATTCGCAGACGGCCTGCGTCATTGCAACGGCTTCTCGCCCAGGTCTGGAGCGGATGGCAACCAGCTCATGTCCTCTACCCAAGTACAATCGGCCAGGGCAGCGAAATGCATGTCCCTGCCGACACTGCAAGCCAATGCCGACCCCTACGGCAACTGGGCTTAGAGCATTGTTGTCCACGATAAGCACATACATTCGATCACACTCCATGAGGTCTGCTCGCTACGTTCGTTGACATCATGGGGAAAAAAATGGACAAGGCCGACGAGCTGATTGATGCCTGGTCACGATATGCATGCGCTCTGCTTGGAAGGTTTTTGTCTAATCGTATATAGAGCCTGCCTAGCTGAGGACAAGCTCAAAGAGTTTGAAATGGAGCGGGCAAACAAGTATCTTGGCGATTGCATTGCATGCAAATATCACGATTCCACGCTTGCTGCTTCTAGTACAGGCTTGCAGCAGAACTTCAGCAGAAAGTGGAGGAATACAATGAGAAGTACAAGGAGCTTCAGGACATTCAAACGAAGACTTGTGGTGGCGACGCGCCGAGCCTGCCCTGGGCTTAATATATGCATGTCCGTGGTGAGCAGGTAGTTGGTTCATGCGTGGTCTGTGCTAGCGCAGACCATGTCTGAACATATATAGAATATCATAATGTAGGGAAGACAAGAAGAAGCTCGCCGTGCTGCTTGTGGAGTGCATCAAACGGGACGCGCAGATGAACAATATCCAGGGCCGTGCAAGGACCGTTGCCGATTAATATATATATATATATTACATATTATAAATCTCTCTCTCTCTGTCATGATATATATATATATATATGTATATATATATATATAGTAGATCATATAATTTGTGGTTTGAATCCCCTAGGGCTACTATTCGATATCGATATCATTCATATATTAATATTGGGTG